CCAGTTAAAGCTGTTTAGAAACAGTTACTCATTCTTTTTGCACTGTGGGAAATTGCAGAAGCGTGGACTGGGAATGAGCAAAGAGCAGCTGATACCATGCTTACAGCAGTGCACATATTCAGATCGGCATGTCACTGACTCTCTGATACAGCGGTTTTCCTGCAGGCGACTATTTTACTGTCTTCTATGATTACATAGATAACACGATAAAGATCTCCACAGGAAACTGAAGAAAATGAGAAACATTGCTGTGAGACTTTGTAGTCAGGAAGTTTTATGCAGTGATCCTTTTTTCCCCAGATATTGATACATGTACACATTAGCCTGCTGTTTTCCCTTATATTCTCATTATGTATTCTTTATATTGCTGTCCAGTCAGATTTCACTCATTGAAAAGAAATTTGAAGTTATCTAACAGCGGAATCTGCAATTCTGTTTTCAAGCACAAGTCTTAAATTGAGATAATCTCACGTACTTTTGAGATGGTTGTTTTTGCTGCTTCTGTTGTTTGTTCTGAAGTCCTTGCTGCTCTTTCTTTTCTAAACATCTCTAGTGTGTTTTATTTCCTCATCCAAATAAATTTTTTAAAAAAGGAAAAAAAAAAAGGGAGTAACATGCAGCTTGGTTGCTCTTCCCCTTAAAACTGTGTGGGAAAAGAAGCACTTTGAACTGTGTGCCCACACAAATAAATGAATAAATGTTAAACAAAATAACAGTTTAGATAGTTATTATTCTGCCAATCAAATGTTCCTTAATTGGAGCTTGTCATGAAAATGACTGGCCTTTTTTTGTTTCAGCTGTAGTGTGGAATAGAGTCATTCAGATATTCAGAGTCAGTTTTGAACTTCCTTAATAAAGTACAGCAGGTTAAGGTGAATTGATGCAGCAGAAACCATTGCACATCAGTGAGCACTTGCTTTTTTGGTGGTTTTTGTGATCCTTTGCCTTCTTTATTAGATTTACTGTCCTGATGGCTTCCACAGTGACGTTGTTCAGCATGTGCCACATTTAAACAAAAAAAATAGTTAATAAACATATACAAAAATATACTTCTTGGCTGATCTAATGAAAAATGTGTTTCAATATATCTAAGTAATTAGATTTATTCTTTGGAATATTTGGTTGCAGAGTTTTAAGCTAAAGTTTGAGACTTTACATTAAAAAATAAACCAAAGTTTTACATAAGGTAAATTCTGCTAGTATATAATTGAAATACAATTGACTTATGCATTTAATCAGGTATTTTTTTTTGTATTTAAGAACTTTATTGTCTGACATTAAATGACTTAACGATGCATGAGAAGCACAGTGGGAATGAAAATTGGACTGGAAGTAGCTCATATATTCAAAAACTGTCTAAAAAATCCTGATTATTTATGTTTAAGAGGCTTATGAAAATGCTAGAGATCAGTCAGCATTTGCCACAGAAAAGCATTGTATTCTTGGATGTCTCTTCCAAAGAGAGAGAGAGAACAAGAAATCAAGATGAGTACTTCCTCAAGCTGCTATTTTTATTTCTGTAATGATCGAGCTTGCGGCTCTGTGACATTGTATTTAGGGACTATGGATTCTTTTAGTGAAAGAACTGGATGGTTCCTAAATGCTATCTACATCTTTTGATTTATGGGATCACCCAAACTAGAGCAGAAAGAACTTGATAATAGTTGCCTTTCCATCTCTGATCCTTTTTTTTTTTTTTTTTCTATTCCTGTGGAATAATGAGAATTCTACTTAGAATAGTGAATTTACATCAGACCTATGCCCTTTTCGGAAAGGCCTGTCCTGACCTCTTCTGTGCTTGGTGAACTTATCTGTGATGAAAAGTACTTGGAACCATTGGAAAATGTTTCTTAAAATTTATGTTCTACTTTCTGGGAGAAAAAAAGGATTGTCTTTCTAATTTGATAGTCCTTCCTTTCTAGAAAAATCAGAATCCAGTTTTTTCAAAATATTGATGCTGGGGTGTCTTTGCTATCCAAGTTGTTTCACCTTTGTTTCTCAAACTGCTGTTTTTTTCTTGCAGTTTGCCATTCTTGCTTGTTGCAGGTGGTTCACTCACAGGATGGGAAGTCTGTAGATGGGTGTTTAAAGTTTTATTTCAGTTAAGTTTAGACTTCTGCAGTTTAGAGGTCTGCATTCTGAGGTAATCCTTTTAAGTTCAAGTCATAGCTAATACTGAGAAACAGGATTTTCTTTGGATGTTGTTCATCTGATTTATTTTAGGTTTTTACTTTAGAAGAAGACAGCAAATACTCCGTCACTACTTGCTTTTCTGTGTTGGCTGTGAAGGGAGGCGAAGATGCTCACCTTCGATGGTTAAGTGCATTTTCAGCTTTTTTGTTGGATTAAATCCTGGTATGAGAATATAGGGTGAAATGGTGGATTTTGAAAGAGAAGGACAAAAAGGAGGTAAGGTGAAAAAGATGAGAGAGAAGATAAAAAGTCTTTTTCATTTATTATCTTTTCATGTCCACCTGTAGAAGAGTTATTGTGTTGTGCTACGGTTTATAACTTCCTTTTTGTTCAGAAATGTGATAGCAATATCATGAAAAGAAAAGGTGCTCAAAGGCAGGAAATTTGCAAAGGAACACACAAGCTAAGTAGTCATAATCTCGTTCTTTCAGCAAGTGTTTAGTAAAGAAGTGTCTGAAGGCTGCTTCTTTCAAGGGAAATAGAGTTCAATATATGTTTGTGTTTTATATAAATATAAAGAACTCTGGTTTATTTATTGTTTGGGTATTTTCTGTAGACATAGTGAGACAGAATGGGTTACTGCTTTTTTCACTGTTTAAAACGTTACAAGGAAAATTAAAATATTAACTAGACTTTTTTTTTCCACTTGGACATTGGTTTATGAATGCATAGTAAACTGTATAACTGTAAGACATTTTTCCTTGTTACCTCCGTTGTATTCAGGCATCTTTACCCTGAAAAAACTTCTATCTTTTATATTATACTAGGCTTTTCTCTTAAGATACCAAGGAGTTAGATTTAATAAATGAAATGAACCCAAGTTTGTTCTTGAAGCTGTCTTTAATAAAGGGAGTCTAATAGCGAAAGTGGTGGGAGCTGAACAGCAAGACATTGGAGGGGAGTGTCACCTCCCAGTCACTGCCTATGTTACCCACGTTTTTCACAGTGTAGTAGGAATTTGCTGTCCGTTGCTGAGAGAGGAGTATGCTACTGATTTCCCGGGGATCTGTCCTCTGTTTTGCTGGGAGGAATATGCTGCTGAATTTGAGTAAGAGGTTTCTTTATTGTGAAAGGGTCTGCTATTAAAAAATCTGCTTTTGTAGTCTGCTAGTCACTCTTTCTTCGTTGTTTTGCAAGACAGTGTTATACCTGTTTATTATTTAGGGTATTTAAAATATGTTGGATAGTTGTTTGTTGATCTTCTAGAAACTCCGTTTTTAAAACTGTACTTGAATGCAAAAGTGACATTCCTTTAATAACCAGTAAGCGACTACTGATCACTTTGCAGTCCTGCCACCTCTGAGATCATTGTATGCGGTTTTTTTTAATAGAGTCTCTGCTGCAGTCCCGTGTTTTACTTACCAGGTTTGCCAGTACCTTAACTAATGTTTTATTAGCACAACCTAGTCTCCTTGTTCTACAGCTATTAATATTTCACAATCCAAGCCAAATGATCCCTTGGAAGATGCGCACCCACGTATAGACACTGGTGCAAACAAGAATGCTTTGGTAACACCTTGCTACCAGTGCCTATTAGTAGTGGTAAAATCACTGGTGTGTAAAAATGATTTTATAACAGGTCTGATGCTCATGGTTATTACCAGTTGACAACTAAGTGCTTTAAGGTAGCATAATCAAATGTGACAACCTAGAGATGTACTTGGGCTTCTGCCATGACCTACTGCAAAGCTATGAGACAGATAATAGAGGAGTTTTAAGCTATTACATATTCTTGCTTTTCTCTTACGGTTTTTTCTGTGCTACCATGCAGTTGTGTAATGGAGAAAATTCCTGATTTGGTATATCATACTTCGTTTAAGTTGAATCAAATCTCTCTTCTGCACCTCCCACGTTCTGAGAAGAAACTAGGCTGGGAAAGGTGATGCTTTGATTCTCATCGTGATACATAAAGACACTGTGAGCTGCTGCAAGAGGGAAGCTACAGCATTTGGTCAGAGCATTCCCAGCTCGTGTTTAGCTCTCTTCTGGGTCTGTATGGGAGCTTTGGGAGTTAACTGGCGAGGCAGCACGTTCTGTGTTAGTTCAAAATGGATTTATTCAGATGCCATGGATTAAAACTTAAAACAACGTGGCTTAGGTAGTAAAATTTCAGTTCATAGTAAAATGTGACTTTCTTTTAACATGCTTGTGTTGTGACAACAGAAATACTCAGTTTCCATGAATTGGACATCACTGGGGTTCTGTGCTTTGTCAGTATTGAGAATCATGGGGTTTTTTGGGGGGGCGTGTGTAGGCGTGGGAATCATCTGATTCCTTTTATCTGATTTCCTTTGGATTCCAAATGCTTGCCTGAAAAACGAATCCCTCTTGAAAAGCTGTAGCCAGCTTTCTAAATAAATTTAACTGCTTTTATAAAAGTATTTTTCAAGGCTTTTTGGTGTCAAGGCTGGTGACATATTTTGCTGTGTATGATGCAAACATAGACACATTCTGCTGAGATTGTTCGTACTTAGCTTGAGCGCGCTCAAAGTGCTTCTGAGGATCCTCTTTCAGGTGTGAAACATTTAGAATTAAGTAATTTATTATATATTAATTCTGGTTAACCAGACATGATTTGGGATTTTCACAGTCTGCAAGAAATTAAGTCTTCATTAACATTTAAAGCCATTTGATGACACAGTTAAGCAATAAATGATTCATTCAGTCTCTGTTAAAGTAAATGTGCATTGAAGCTTCTGACTAGAAGATAAGTGGTGGTTGTCTTTGTTTTCAGTTATTTTCCTCATCCTTTCTGTATTTATTCTGTGCACTTCAATGACTTGTCTTTCTCTCTCTTCCTGAAACAGAAGAAGAAGAAGTGGAAAATTTTGATGTTTCCAGTCTGCCTGAAGAAGTGCTGCAGAACATAGAAGCTGACAGTTACTGGTGCATGAGCAAGTTGCTTGATGGCATTCAGGTAAATTGATTTTTCCTGTCTGTAAGTAGTGAAGATAACCAATTAATATAATGGCTTTGAACTACTTTAAGATTGTTGAGAAATAGTATATCTATGAAAAACAAGTAGATTTTTCTATTGGAGAAATCTTCTGCAAGTTTGGCATAGTATTAAGGAAAGAAAGGGAAAAAAAGGTGCAACTCCTTTTCATCAAAATGCCTACATGTTTCATTGAACTATGATGTTCTAGAGCAGAGCTGTAAAATGCGATTCTAGAGGCATGTTGTGCACCTCAGTCACCAAGCTTGAGGAGTGTTTGCTGAAATCTCCAAGTAAAATGGTCTCACGAAGGTGATGAAAAGCTGGCTTATTTACTTGTTTTTAAGTCATTAATATAGCAACCTATAAACAATTGCTGTCTTAATAGTTCCTGAAATTATCTTCATATTTTTAAAAATCCATTTAAGACTTGATACTTAGGCTACTTCAGTGAATATTTGAATTTTTTCTATGTGTAGAAGCTATAAACGTGGGCACAATTTTCTGTTAAATGCGGCAAGTTACAGACTGAGAATGGTGGATTTGTCTGTACGTTTGTGTTCATTGGCATAAAAGTTTATGAAGATTAGAAGGATCTACAAGAAATAGTAAATATTTAGCTGAACATCTTGCATTTAGGTGAGGGAGAAATCCATACAATCTACCATACATTAAATGGGAGTCCAAACATCTGTATTTGATATTTAACATATTAAAACACTTTTTATGCTGCAATGCTAGCGCACCATAAAGTAGAAACTTTGGACTTTTCAGTTTAGAAAGAAGTTACCTGAATTAATTTTTTAGGCCTTTTGTTGCAATAAGCATCAAATCATATCTAATATTTGTTTTCAGAACTGTGTCATTTGAGATAAACATTTTGAATCTTGCTAGAAAGGAAAAATAATCTGATTTTGTAAACTTAGAATATATGCACTAAAATAATAGTCACTGTGAATTCCTGGGTTATGATGGCACCAAAACTGACCTTTGCTAGAAATATGGAAGTTTCTGAAAAGTGATGATTTCTGGTTTGCCCTGGCAACAAAACATTGTTTTGAGTGATGTTTGATAGGCAGATGTTTCCAGTGAGGGTTCATTTGCTGTTTTCAGTGAGCTGATTAGAAAATAAATTATGGTTACAAATATTTAGCAGATTGCTGTTTCTTTTTTTGTTTTCTATGTTCATACCTTCTCTTTCTGGTTACTTCCTGCATTCATGTGATCTACTTTAATAGTGTAGAGCATAATTTCTGTGAAATTGTTTCAGTATTATTTTGGTGACAATAGAAATTTTTACAGGGATAGCAAGATTTTGATTGGTTCTTAACATTCTCTTTAAAGATGGTGGTGGACAAGTGCTTCTTCTGTACTTACTAGATTCAGTCCTTTTCATTGGTCCCATGTAACTTTATTTGTTTTGAAATGCTTTGGACAAATGCTTGAAAATATAAGGTTTTGTTTCCTCAGGTGGTTTTAATGTAGCAGAGACCCAGGAGGTTGAATTTATTTGTGTGGAGAAGAGCTATCCCCCAATCATTAATAAATCTTCATAAAATGTGAATAACCATAACAATTCCTATGAATTGTAGCTGTACTTTTCAGTGAAACTAAACTAATGTTTTCCAGATCCCTTATTTTGATTGCATTTATTGACAGATATTTCTTTCCTTATGGTATTTACTATTTTTAAAAGTGCTTTAACATATTCTTGCCTATGACTTAAGTCTTTATCAATGTTTCATTGGCTAAGGCATGTTTGCTAAGGCACACTGTGAATTTAAACTTGTAATAGAGATAATTTTTGACAAAATTGTTATAAAATTGAATCAACAAACTATTTAACTTCTTTGAAGGTATTTTAAGTGTATTTCTCCTGGTTAAAGGTCAAATGAGTTGTAGCTCAATGTTTTGTGTAGCATTGTTGAAAAGCACAGTTGTCTTCTCATTTTGATTTTTGATTCCTGTCTCTTGGAACTGCTACATTTTAAAATATTTGACCACACATCAAAAATGTGTGAGAAAAAAAGTATAACTTGAAATCTTTTTGAAAGAAAGCAAGCCAGGTAAAGAATTGCAAGCCCTCCAACTGTTTTACCTGTTTCTTGAACATCATCTTGGGCGTACTGCTCCTTTTTTTTTTAATTATTTTTTTTTCTCTAGAGAAAGAAGTTAAAAGATTACGTAATTTCTCCTTAAATTCTGTTTTCATACAAAACCATCAAGTACTGATAAGCAAAATATTGAAAGTAATTTTAATGGAATTAAACTGCATTGGTGAAAATTTAAGCTCTTGCATAAATGGAATGGTTATCAGTTGGATGTATTCAAGGATGTATTCATCTATCAAAAGCAGGCTTGGAAGATTATGCTGGTGGTGTGACTAATGAAGTTACAGTTAATTCAGTGCTACTGCAGAGTGCTGCTGAAACTAAAGGATTTGCTTGGTTTTTTTTTCTCCTATTCTTGTGTTTTGATTCCTTTGTGATGGTAGCACTTTACTTGTCAGATAGAACACTCAGGTAGCTGTAGGTTGAGTTGGTTAGGAGAACTAACCCAACAAGAAATTAGCTCATTGAAAGGAAGGGGATTAAAAGAACCAGATAATAAAGATTGTTCTACTGGAAAAATGCCATCCAGAGGGACCTGGACAGCCTTGAGGAGTGTGCCCATGCGAACCTCAGGAAATTCAGTAAGGTCCTGCCCCTAGGTCAGCCCCAACCCCCAGTATCAATACAGATTGGAGGATGAATGGGTTGGGAGCAGCCATATGGAGAAGGTCTTAAAAATAGTGGTAGATGAAAAATTGCATAGGATCTGGCAATGTGTATTTGCAGCCCAGAAAGCAAAACATATCCTGGGCTGAATCAAAAGAAACATGACCTGCAGGTTGAGGGAGGGAATTCTCACCCTCTGCTCTTCTCTGGTGAGATCCACCTGGAGTACTGTATCTAGCTCTGCAGTCACACACAAGAAAGACGTGGACCTTAAAGCGAGTCTAGAGGATGGCCATGAATATGATCAGAGTTGGAACATATCTGTCAGAAAAGGCTGAGGGAGTTGAGGTTGTTCAGCCTGGAGAAGATAATACTCTGGGGAAACCTTGTTGTGACTTTTCAGTACTTAAAAGGAGCTTATAAGAAAGCTGGAGAGAATCCAGGGCCTGTAGTGACAGTACAAGGGGCAATGGTTTTAAACTGAAAGAGGGTAGATTTGAACTAGACAGAAGGAATATGTTTTTTAATGATGTGGGAGCCCAGAGAAGTTTTGGGTGCTCCATCCCTGGAAGTGTTCCAGGCCAGATTTGATGTGGCTTTAAGCAACTTGATCTAATGAAAGATGTCCCTACCCATGACAGGGTGTTGTACAAGATGACCCTTAAATGTCCCTTCCAGCACGAACTATTGTATGATTCTGTCTGATTGCATTCTGGATGCATGATCACCAAAGTCTGCTGTTGGCGGACAAGAACTAGATGGGGATGGGTGAGGTAGGACCTGGAATCATTAAACTTAAGATTAAATCATACCCCAGGTTGCATGAACTGTTTTACATCAAGTTGTAATCAACCTATGCTGCTGCCTGCACCTGAATGCTCATTCCTGTCTGTCCCTTGCTGAGTGCTACCTGTTGTGAGATGAACCACCTGACAATGGAACAAAACTAAAAAGCACTGGTTTGTTTAAGGGATAAACACCTTGAACAGGAACCATAGCAAACAAATGAGTAGAACTGCGCAGTAGGGCCAAGGCAGGATATGTACAGCTCAGACATAGATGTACTTTAACAGCTGTAGATTCTCAGTTTGCCAAGCTAGTTGTCCATATGCAGTGGTCTGAATGATCTGCTTACGTCTTTCTACTTCTTAAGAAAGATGCTGCTGATTGTTTCTTGGGAATAATCATCAAATTAGTTCTTAACTACTCCCTCAGTATTTTCCATGTGATCTACTGCAGATCATGGAATGTCTTTACAGGCAGCCTGGAAAAGCTGCTTCATTCTTACGAAGCCACAAAACCAGACAACATAAAAACACAAAACTAAAGGAGAATCCCAAACAAGACTAATGCTGGTTTTTTTTTCTGTGAAAATATGAGGCTGCTGATACTTTGTCTGAGATGTCTGAATAAACCATACCGGGATTTTAGAGAAGAGGAATATCTGATGTGGTGATAACTGCAATTTGATAATCTCTTCAGAATATTTCCATTCATTTATTCATCGATATAGCCTTCCATTTGAAGTAGTATTGGATAAGTCTAAAGGGTGTACTTTGGTAACAATTAGGGTCCTGTTGTGAAATTTTTGACTAATACGAGCTAGACATTTCTTTTGTGTGTTTGTCTTTCCAGCGCATAAGAGTGTAATGGAAAGATGATTGTATTTATATCCCTTTATTATTCTTAACAGAAAACTCATTTATTTTTCCAACCCATCCTGACTGTCTCATTTTCTTGATTCCAGAATTGTCAAAGGTGTTATTAAGAAAAACCTATTTCTTGGTTGAGTTTTGCTACATATAGTACCTGTTATTTCTACTTTCCTCACTCATCTTACCCCCCTACCTTCTTTATCTAATGTGACTCTGTGTATTTTAATATAACAGTGCATCTTTGAACTACAGAGAAAAGACAGTATTGGCATTGAGCAGCATGACAGTCACTTCCTGACATACTTGCAGTTCTTAGCCTAAAGAAGAAATAAAAAACCTTGTTCAAATCATTTGTTGCTTTAGCAGATTCACTCGTGCTGCTCTTTTTGATCTGAAAGTTTCTGTGAAAGTGTGTCTTTGGCTCCGGTTAGAGAGTTTTGCAGAACTTTCCCAGTAGTTAATGTTTGATATTGCATGATAACTTAATCTGTTTTGTGTTCTCGGATCACTTTGCATCTTCTTTCTCTGTTTGTTCTCTCTAGTTATAGGATCCTAAGTGGCTACACATATCTCATCACAATTTGATTGAATTTTTTAAAATGGATTAAGT